AGAGGCACAACAGAGGAGGAGTTGTTGTTGTTGGCATAGGCGGTGCGCTAGAGGCGGAGCTGCTGCCCGGAGAGGATCGAAGAGGTCGGCAGCTTCGTCTTTCCACCTGTTCCCCACTAACGAGCGGCTTGTGCAGGTGTCTGGGAAGGAGTTGCCATTGCTCCAGTGGTATGCATGCTCACTCTGCTTTTATTGATTGCTTCTCCTCCTCCTTCTCCTAGGTTTTGGCTCTAGTGGCATCAACGATGTGGGCGATTCCGCATTGGACTAAGGTCTCCGACCTCTCCCTACCTCGATGATATCCAATCCGATGCCGACGTTAGATGTTGCCTCATTAGTTGGCTCTCTCGAATCTTGGCAATTGAAGTGTCAATCAAGGAGAGCCATTTGTTGAATCTCTTATTTTTTGCATTTCTAGAATAGCGTTGGAGCCGGGACACACATTTCTACCCGAGTTCCAACAACAAAACAAATATTGTCCAGTCTAGCGGGAGCGCGAACCGCACACAAACATGAGCTGCTATACCGAATCCCCTATTGGTGTGACGACTTTGGTATCTTTTTTCGATTTGTTCGTTGACATGGTCTAGTTTCTCCCGCCCCTTTGAACCGGTGATGAAGAAGGGTAAGATTGCATGGGTTGATGCCTTAACCAATGTCCCTTCAACGATTTTTAGATCTCGCTTAAAGTGACAAGTGACTAATGTGGTCTTCAAAATCTAGTATGACAAAGGCATTCACATATGTTCATTTTCTTTGCTGCCGGTTTAGTGCAATTTTCAATTTTCGATGGACAGCGTACTATCGAAGGAAGAAGATGACCAACATAATTTTCGATGTAATTTTTTGTATTGATCATTTTGTGTCAAATTATCTTTTTTCTATTTATCGTAATTAGCTGTTTTTCTTAATAATTATCAAATCTAATATGCGATTTGGGTGTATTTTGTAGAAAAACCCATAGATCCAAACACACCCAAACAAAACTTGTCGAAAGAAGCGGCCGCCTCCAGCGTGGCAGCCGGCAGGGGAACCTTGGAATGCACACTAGCGAGAGGCCGGCCCCAACGTCACCAACCGGTTCAGTTCAATCCAGCAAAAACAATTTCAATTTCAAATTTCCTCCTCCTCCTCCTCCGCCGCAGCCGCACCCACCAGCGCCAAACCCCCACGGGAGCCGGCCACGGGCCCAAACCCTAACGAAATCCGCAGGCCGCCGCCGTCCCCCGTCCAGCCCGGTGCCCGGATCCGATGGGGTTCGTGGATCCGGCGGCGCCGCTGCTCGCCACGTGCGGCGGCGACACGGTGAAGCTCTTCGACGTCACGGTGGAGTCCGGCGACCCCTGCGTCCTCGCCTACTCCCCCGCTCCCGGCCACCCCGTCAACGCCGTCAAGTGGAACCACACCAGTCAGTAACCATCTCCCTCCCCCCAGCTCGCTCGCTGCCCTCTCTCACCCCCGTTCTCAGATCTCCCCAATTCGCTTGCTTTGCGTCTACGCGAGGATCTCCGTGTGCGAGCTAGAGCTTCGATCCTTTCGTCGTTGTCTTGCGTGCCATCAGCCTCTAGCGTTGTCACCGAGTTTTCAATCTTTTGGGACGGTAATATAAGTTATTTGCCTAAATTTCTCATCCTATAGACCCAGGATCAAAATGTAGCTCATATAGCTATGCTTCCTAACGGTATGTGGACGGGATAAACAAAAGGTATTTTGGAGATATCAACATTGATGGATGGATCTACTCGGTTTGCCAACAGTAATTTTTGTTGTTTGTAAGAGCTCTGTTTGCTCAAAAGACAATAACTGACGAAGAAATAGTATCAGTACTGTTGCATCTCATGATATACACAACAACAGATACTTTTCCGAGTATTATTATATTTATAATTACACACTCCATTACTATCAGCTGCCTATTGATGCATGATTACAGTGATTATACAACCACTATTTTCTGCTATAGTGATGAGCTAGTCTGCAGTTTCATTTCACTTGGCTTGTTCCATAGACCTTGCATTTTGCATTTCTATGCACGTGAATTTGGGTTGTGTTCATGGTTGCTGGTTTCTTTGCAGTGCAATTCTTATAATAGCTCCTTGTAATTCCTAGGTCCTGTTTGAGAGGGATATCATCCTGCAGAAGCTAGCTTCTGTAAAAAAAGGTAGTGGAGAGGTTCTTCACCTTCCTTGTACGTTGAACCCTAGAAGACACATTTGAGGAGTTGCCACATCTTTTTTAGATGAGTTTGGAGTCCCCCCAGATAGGGCCTTGAAATAGCATATTATCTGTTCCGTAGGAAAGCTATTCCTAGGTCCTGTTGATTTTGCAAATTATTTGTTTAGTCATGTGGCATTACTTGTAGTACAACAACCTCGAGCAATCAAACTAAAATTTTAACTTCCAATCTTCCCATGATCAATTGTCATGGTCTGTAGTTGTTTTTGTTGTTGTTGTAGGAGGTTGGCAAGATGCAGTGTGCATCCTTCATGCCCTTTTTTGGTTTTGTATTAAATCTCAATGAAGTATACATAATGCATATTAGGGAAAACATGATATCTATAAAGTTATAACGATGTTCTTGTATTTTAATCTTAGTGCAATGTTTGTTATGTCACTCTTGAGTCTAATGATGTGTTTCCTGAATTGACTAAGTTTTCTTACAAGAAGTTTAAACTCATTATCTTAATGAAATGGTTCCATAATCTAATTGCATAATGAATCTAAGTAATAACACCAACTCATTGCCGTATTAAACCTGCAGATCTAATCGTAGCAAGTGCTGGGGATGATAAAAAGATCTCATTGTGGCATAAAAAGGGTCAAAATGTAGGACAGCTACCGACATCAACTGTTGATCGTGGGGATGACATTGAGGTATCAGTGCATTCTTATGATTTTGTGCTCACGTCTTTAACTGTCAGACATGTGTGGTAGTCATTTTCATGTAACATTCTGTTGCTAATTCGTGTAGCAGTTCCAATTTCGTCTGTCATTTATTTGTATGACAGGCCTGCAGTTTCAGCTGCCTGTCCATTGATGTTGTTGCATAGGTATCTTGTTGCTTCAAATGAGCAGTTTGGTAATACAACCAAAAGGTGTACCTAATATTGTTTGCTCTGGCAGCAATGCAACAACCAGACTTACAGTGATACCGATACCTTTTGTAGCATTGTTTCTGTTACTGGCTTGTTCTATTATATACCCATGATGTAAGTTTAAAAGCATGCTTGTTTTTTTTCTGCCTCTTTACTCTACAAAAACAGCTTTATTTTACTCTCTAACTTGAAATACGGTAATGGGGCTTTCACTTATTTTCTCATACCCCATGATATGTACCAGCTGCCTTTCTGTATTAGACAATCGGCCGATGACATCTTGAATATATTATTTCCTATATATAAGCTGGGGCTGAGCACGACAAATTGTATTTTCTTGGCAGGAATCCATATATTCCATCAGTTTTAGCAACAAAGGTTCTCGATATCTTTGTTCTGGTGGGAGTGGCCATATTGTTAGGATATGGGATTTGCAACGGAAGAGATGTATCAAATGGCTAAGTGGTCACACTGACACCATTACTGGTGTAATGTATAACTGCAAAGATGAACATTTGGCATCAATAAGCATGAAGGGCGACCTGATTCTTCACAATCTTGCTTCTGGAGCACGTGCTGCTGAACTTAGTGATCCAAATGGACAGGTAATATATATATTTTTTTGTAAATGACAATGCCTCACAGTATGCTCTAGCTATACTGGAATTCTGGAAATTTTGATTCTGACCTTATGAGCTTTCTTTTATTTTTTTCTGCAAGGCCAGGTTTTGAGAGTGCTCGATTATTCACGTAATAGTAGGCATATATTGGCGACAGCAGGCGATGATGGTTCTGTGCATCTTTGGGATACAACCGCGAGGACTCCAAAGGTAAGCAATATTGCCTTGGTAACTAGTTAGGTTCTACCTGTTATTCTAGTGTTCACCCTATGACATGGGTGTTCCCATTTTGTTGTATTTAATGCCAAAGTAGAATGCAGGATTGAGATAGCAAAAATATGTGAAAAGGGAAAGTTGAGTTTCAATACCTCTCTAAACTTTGAATGTATGCTTGCCGACAACGTGTATTATAGATCATTTTCCTTTCTTGCACTTCAATCATCTTTTTCTGAAGAACAATGAACGTACATTTCATCCTCAGCTTCCTTTGCAGTCTGTCCCTTTGTGATGATGATTTTGATATGAAAGTTATGTTGCCGTATCGCCTTATCTGAGATTCTCTTCATTTCTTGGAGAAACTTCTGACAGGAGCTTCATTTGAAGTTTCAAGTTTGACAAGTTAGATTGAAGGAAACTGATGCAGATACACCAAGGATTTTTGTAGTATTTAGCAAAGCTGAGATCAAGATTCACTATTTGTTGATTGACATCTTCTATATCTAAATAACTAGCCCCCGCTAACCTATTTCTCTCAACATTCAAGCATGCCACCTCATCACACAACATGCATGGAGAGGGCCCACCCTCACTAACCTATTTCTTTAAACATGCAAGCATGCCACATTATCATGCAACATGCATGGGAAAAGACTCACCTCAACATGCAAACATGCATGGGAATTTCCATCCTATCGTGATATTTATATTTAATAAATAGTATACAACTGTACAATAATCAAACACAATAAGTCGTATGTATTTTCAGTTCTAGCTCTCTCCAAATATTCATGTTTCATACAAGGAATCTCATTGAAATAAGTTGCAAACTATCCCGCAACAACGTGCGGGGTATCATCTAGTTAGTAAAACTGCTTGCTTCACTGTTTAGTGTAAAAGGTTGAGATTAGTTATGTGAACTGTTCTTGCTGTTTATGACTTGATGTGTTAACCCGGATTTATCATGGTGTATTTGTGCTTTCTTCAATGCTACTCTTGAATCGACTAATGCCTTGTGCAGGTCTCATGGCTGAAGCAACATTCTGCACCCACAAGTGGTGTTTGTATCTCACCCTCCAGTGACAAGGTTTATTTTAGTATTATGCTTGGCGTTTGAAGTTTGATTTTTTTTACTGGCCATAAATAATCTTTATCATATTTGGTTCATTTAGATAATTGCTACAGTTGGCCTCGATAAGAAGCTATACACACTCGATTCTGCATCAAGAAGAGCAACACACACTATTCCTCATGATGCCCCTTTCTCATCATTGGCATATAATGATGATGGCACAATATTGGCAGCTGGCACAAATAGTGGGCGTGTGGTATTCTATGATGTTCGGGGCAAACCCCAGCCATTGACAATTCTTCGTGCATACAATAGCTCAGAGGTGGGGAACCTTACATGTCTCTTTTCCTCATTGGTGCCCTGCGATTTATTGTTTACATAGAAATGCTGTTCTCTGGTGGATATATGTACACATATTGGTGCAACACTTCCAGTTGTATAAAAGTATGCCAACTACCACTGTTCAATATTTTATTAGTTCAGCGCAGATGATTAACAAAAGCGCTGCCTCTGGTTATAGCGTATGCTGCACCATAATAAGAGAACAAATTGTTCATTCCTTTTGAAAATAGAAACCTGCATGGAGATGGAATTGTATGAACAATGTTGCTGGTCAAATTTAATAAACTTAATATTAACAATAGCATTTCTACTTCTTAGTCTATGCTTAAATGTTATTTCTAACTCTCATATTGTATGTAAATCTGTAAAACAACAACAACAACAACATAGCCTTTGGTCCCAAACAAGTTGGGGTAGGCTAGAGGTGAAACCCATAAGATGTCGCGACCAACTCATGGCTCTGGCACATGGATATCAAGCTTCCACGCACCCCTGTCCATAGCTAGTTCTTTGGTGATACTCCAATCCTTCAGGTCTCTCTTAACGGACTCCTCCAATGGCATTCTCCGCACGCTTTAGCCGTCCGCTATGCACTGGAGTTCCTGGAGGCCTGTGCTGAATATGCCCAAACCATCTCAGACGATGTTGGACAAGCTTCTCTTCAATTGGTGCTACCCCAACTCTAGCTCGTATATCATCATTTTGTAAATCTGTAAAACATGTTTCGCAAATCAATTCGCTATTTTGTTCTTGTGCGCTCAATGTTGGGAATAATATTAGTGACTTTCATATATTTTATAATTTGTTATGCTTGCACAGAAATTTATGCACTTTGCAGAGTCCCTGTTTGTGAAATTTGATAGCTTCCTAGTTAAACAAGGTTAAAAGACTGCCATGGGCTTTGATGTGTAACTGTTTAACAAGTTCCATTATATCTGCTCTCTTGAGTTGTTTAACATTTTCGAATTTACATTGCTTTCCAGGCTGTGACAAGTTTATGCTGGCAACGGGCAAAGCCTGTCATTGTTAGCGAGAACAGTTCTTCAGAAGTTGCCCTTCTGGGGGGAACTAGTGAAGATTCTATTCTTATGCCAGATCCTTTGCCTTCAGCAACACCTTCAACTTTTCCATCTGGAGCAGGCATTACGAGTCTTCGCTCTTCTTTGACAGGGAACACAAGTGGATTTCTTTCCACTTCAAAATCTTCTACTGCAGAGGAAACTCCATATAGGGCCCGTCCATTGTCTGGTGGACCATTATCAAAGCTACAGGCTCCTCGTGGCAACTTCAGTATAAAGGATGATATGGATGTATTTTCTCCACTTGTTGATGTCCAGCCTTTCACACCATCCAGCAACAGCTGGTGGGATGAGCACGGGAGTGATGAAGCAAAAAAAGATGATAAATCTGGAGATAAGAAATTATCAGCAACTAGGAAGTTCCAGTATATGGAAGGGAACAGTGAGCCACATCCAATCTCGGACTGGAGGTCTAATTCCGTTTCAAGACAGGTTTCTTTCTTCTGGAAAACCTATTATTGTTTCGACCACTACAAATCTGTTGTCAGATTTTTTTACCATGGCAAATCGAACGTTTTTCATGACAAATTATGTGCTCTGAGGATGGCAGGTTCAGTTGGTGAGCATGACAAATCTGCCTCAGTTCAGTTTTTGTCAGAAAATTGCCGTGCTTGCAAGCTAAATTTACCATCATCGTGCCAATATAAATTGCCATGAAAAACGTCAGATTTGCCATGCCTAAAAATTTGACGTCAGATTTGTAGTGTTTTCATATTATTTTCACTGTCTCTGTTCTCTGTCATCTCAGGATGCCAATTGAGCCTTCTTAACTTTGTTCTGCAGGATGGCGCCTCATCTGCGAGTAGCTCACCCGTGCCATCATGGAAGAGTGAACCATCTATCTCCCCACCAGAATCATCAACTGGAAATGCATTGCCCGACAGGCTAACACATCGTCAACAAATCTCACGCTTTGGGCAATCAGCCTTTCAGACTGGCAGTTTGGCGTTTGCAGGTTTACAGGATTCAGCTTCATCCACCAGTCTCTCATTGAAAGGTTCTCTAACAAGTAACATTTTAATGAACTTACAAAACAAGGGCATCTTGAGCAATGCGCAGTCTTCCCTAGAGACATCATCTGGTAGCCTACAGGCTTCAGTTTCCTCATCCTTTATGTCCAAGACCGTGCCATCGGTGAATTCTGATTTGCCAGGAGCAGCACTTCCCAAATCCGCATGGAAACCCTCAACTTTGACTGATAGATTGAGCACATCCTCTGTTTTTAGTGAAGGGTTAGCTTCAGCATTTGGTTCGCCAAAATCAAAGAAGACTGGAGCAGAAACAAAAGATGAACTGCTTACTAGTCTATTATCAAGACAGGAGGCACCAATGACCTCTTCGTCTGGAAGCCTTCTAGCAAGCAACGTAAGAATTATTTGTTAATTTTTTGACTTAAAAATGTAAACACAACTATTTACTAATGGAGTGTCCATATGCAATTTTATTAGGGGGTGGTGCCACCTCAATTGCCAACCTCAGGTTCGTCAGCTGATCAACAGGGAGCTTCTTCATTCTCCCTTCAGTATGTTCAGCGCATGCTCGAGGAATCTCTCGGATCGGTTCACAAGTCTATACATGAGGATGTGAGAAATCTCCACATTGAACTTCTAAGACAGTTTCACATGCAGGAGGTAAGAAAACTGTAGGTTCTGTTTTGTGTAGTTGCTTTGTGGCCTTGTTCTTTCTTGTTGTCAATTGCAAGCACCACTGTCAGAAATTATCGTTGTTTTTTATTGTGTGGCGTACACTACTGTCCTTGCTAATGGTATCTAGCTGTATCAACCCATGTATCACCATCATCACCTGTTGGTAAATGCAATTCAAAACATCAGCATTCAACATGACAACTTGGCAAACACATGCAGCTCTTGGTATTATCTCAAAATCACCTATATGTAGTTAGCCAAAACAGGATTTTCAACATAGTATACTCTAGAGTTACTGGTATGGCATGCATCATTTTCTTGACCTAGGCAAACTGAACGTTTTCGTGTATTTGGAAACTTGGCCAACTCGTGGCAAGAGTCCACTACGCGAGTGATAAGATCCCTGGTGTTTATCGTTCTACCAGTTGCCTTTATTTTAATAATGCATCTTACTACCTCTCTCTCAGTTTACAGGGCGTGCGCGTGCCCCTAGGTCGTCAATTTGACCGACCTAATACAGGTCATATATTACAAAAAATATATCAATATAAACTTCAGAAGTTCTATTTTCAAACCGTATAATTTTTGTGTTATATAGTTTATATTAAGATGATAAAATTGGTAACCTAGGTATACGCGTAGGACTTGTAAACTGAAACGGAGGTAGTACTATTATTTGGTGCTTTTGTTCCTTTTGACACAATTGTTACTACCAGGTCAGTTCAGCCCATGGAATGGAGAATTTATTAGATTGTTTAGTTGTGCTAGTTAAGTTTAGTACATGTATTTAACATAACGAACTTTTCCGCAACAAGCAGATGGAAACATCTGGCGTTATGAACTTGGTCCTGGAGAAGCTGGAAGGCCTGACCAAGGAAGTGCAGCAACTGAGAAGGGAAAACCAGCAGCTCCGGCATCAGCTTCTCTGATTTGTAGTTCTGGTGATCAATTTGATATCGTTGTCCATTGTGGAAGAGTGCAATCCTCGCTGGATTCCGGGAATGGCTTGGCGTTGGCGACGGCGATTGATTCTTATATTTGGTGTTTGTTTAGTTGATTCTTTTTGGAGCAAGTTTGTCTAGCCCAGGAAATTCATTTTAGACACGGTTGTACATAGCATCTTTCAGTTTAGAAGCATCTTGTTTATTTTTTGTTTTGTTGTTTGTTTGCTTGCATATCCCTCAACTTTCTTTCCTTAGGATTCATATGTAGTTTTCATAGGAAAGTTTTCATCCACTCTAACCTTGCGTGAAGATCCTATGTTTTTCTTGCGCACAATCAATCGTCCAAACTAATTATGTAGTATTGAAAAGACATACTGCTGGCAAATGTCAAAATACTAACCCTCCCCCCGCGTCGCCTCCTTTGGCGGCTCGGGGGCAGCCCCATCGCGCCGCCGCCGGCCCACTCCCTCTCACCCCCATCCGCTTCGCCGTCGCCGGAGAGGATGCCGGCGAAGCCGCGCGTGCCCCAGGGATGGTGGCGGCGGGGCTCCTTTGTGTCGGCGCTCGCCAGCTAGCGGGGATCCATCCGACGGCGCTGCAAGATCCGGTGTGGTGGCCCTCTTCGCCGGCGTCGGGGGGTGGATCTGGGGCTGCTCAGGCCGGATCCGCCGCGTGGTGGTGCGGTGCTGGTGGTGCGGGGCTGATGGCGGCGGGGTTGAGCGCGCGAGGTCCTGCTGGTCCGGTGTCTCGGGGCGGCTCGTCATGACTCTGTG